AGTACTGATATATTAATAGAACCATCATAACTATATCGTTAATACTTTATTACTTAAATAATAAATGAATCAAATTATTTCCAAATATGATAGCATTATTATAATGATTTTTGATATTATATCGACTGTAATGATGTAAGAGTCAGCATAATTTATAGTTCCATAATATACCAATCACATGAATATTCATTCAGTGAATGGTTGTCTCTTTAATCTGAAAATGTTTCTCTCGGTAGACTATCTTACAGCAATAATTGCTGTAAGATAGTCTACCGAGAGAAACATTTTCGGATTAAAGAGACAACCATTCATTGAACGAATATACTGCTACAATTAGTAAATTCAATATTCATTCATATTCAATTGTTTAATGTAAAAAAATTGCCATAAAAATCAATAGTGTTTTTAAAGTAAATTGCATGTAATAGTAGCTAAAATATAAAACTTAAAATTTATCAACGGCTTATTGTCTAGTTTGACAAGACCTACTTTTTTCAACCATCCAATAAAATTTTTGAAATAATTTTTATAACAATTTATAGTCATCTGAAATTGTGTAACTTATTAGATTAACAATTTGGCAGCATATAAATGAAATTATGTTAATAAAAACATCAGGTTATTACAGATTAAAGATGTATCTGAAATGATGTTTTGAGGGAAAAAACTAACAACACAATGTGCTGGATGGACTAGCATAGAAAAAGTGGTGGTTCTCACTGGACCTGCTATAACTAGCTGAAAACTAAAGAAAAAGAACAATGTGCTAATGAACCATAAGACTATTCAATGTTAAACTGATGAAAATTTTTCATTAATAAATATACTTGTACATATGTTTCCTGTTTGGAAAAATAGAAGTGGAATTTGCATGTTATTTTGACAGATATAATTTGGCCCTATGTATAAAATGTAAATAACGTATAAAATATTCTTATCATTAAGTTGCATTTCATATAAAACCATAACTTTATCATTGAAGTATATACTTCAATGATAAATATCTCTAAAAATGTTTATTTTTTGCTGCTAGTAATGGTAAATCCACAAAATCAAACTTATAAATTATTAGTATTTTCAGTTTAAAACTATTTACAATAATCAACTAAAAACTAGTGTTGTGAAGTCTAAAACAAAACATTATAAATCATTTACAGTGTGCAAAAATGTTAAATTTTATGTAATTAAATTTAATCATTCTACATACTTTTGTTTTAATACAATACTTAAATGACTTATCACACTTATTGGACAGACTTGTCTTTGATATATTTTAATAATAATCCAGCCATCGGACAAAAAAATTCAACAAAAAGAAATTTTAAATGTACCGTCGCCAGGGGGCAGCTTCAAAATCTACATATTCCAGTGCTTTTTTAGTAGATATAAAGCAGAACCACCCATTGACCAGATGGATAGGAAGTAAGACGTCTGTGTCACCGATTCCTTTACTTTTAATTGGATGTTTGTGTTTTTTAAAGGACTTTTTTTACCTTTTGGCGACATATAGCCTAAAAAGGAAGGCCTGTCGCCATTACTGTGTATGTCTGAAACGCAAAATAAATGGTGATCCTTATTGGACAGACTTGTCTTTGATATATTTTAACTTTATATCATTTAATCAATCAAAATTATGTTTGTTAATAGTAACATCTTAAATCAGTTTTTGATCAACTTCACCTGCAAAACATAAAACAAAAACTGACTTAAGATGTTAATAGTAACAAACATCATTTTGACTGTGAATGCTCATGATGATACAAAGTTTCAGACTTTTTTGCTAAATGCATATTTATGGTCGTATAATAGTTTTAAATAATAGCTAAAGATTTAAAAAAAAAAAAGACATTTGTAATTACTCAAACAAAAATATTCTGCTACATTATTAATGCTGTTAAGTAAAAACAAACACCTATAGTTTAATGTGTTACATTTTTATCATTTGAATTAACTATTCCTCCTTTAGATTAATAAATAAAATTAGTAATTATTAGTTTGTATTTAGTAAATAATTTGTTATTAAAATATGTATATTTAATGAACATTTATATCATCAAACTTGTAATTTTTACCTCTAATTACTGTTACATAAACAAGTACAGTGGATGATTAGTTAACAAACAATCCGTTCCAAGAGTTTGTTCGCTATCTGAATTATTCGTTAACCAATTATCGATTTACCATAGGTTTTTATGGGAATTTGATTAATTCATTCTGGAGACCCCAAAAAATAAAAAATATATACTTTCTTACTATGTTTATTTATATGTAATAATAAAAACACATATATACACAATCTTGCAGTTTTATTAGTCATGTTTTTTCCATTTGTGGGGGTTAAAGAATCTGTCTAATGTCAATTAGACAGATTCTCTCTTCAAGATTTTTCAGAATTAATAGCATTGTAATTGTAGAGATCCCTAAGCCTATTAACCTCAACCTGGTTTGGATGCCATTCTAAGACCGTTGTTATGACATCATCCCACTTCTTCAAAAAAATGTTTAATAGCAGGTATCGGCATTAATTCTCAGAAGAAAACATATCTTGCCGAGTTTCTTGGTGTTCTTCATTCAAGAGTTCTTGGCATTTTTCTGTCATCAGATCTGTTTCAGGTTCCATTATGAGCTCTTTAATGTTCTTTATTTCTCATATGTGATTTTTGTTACTCCTTAAGCTGCTTGAGTCTTCTTGATAATACAGTATCTTTCTTATATAAGATTGAACTGTGGTCTACTGTAGACATGTTCAAGCCATACCTGCCCAGCAACAACAGACATCTGCCCACTCTCTACCTTTACTATTATACTCTCACCTTTCGAAAATAAAAACTGACGCAAAACTTAACAACTGTCTGCCCAACAATCTTGCAAATACTATAAAAGAATTATTTCTGTCAGAAAAATAAAAGGCTAGAATTACAAGGGAGAGTTTCGAAGTTTGGAGAAATACTATCCAATCAGTATATACCAGGTTGAGCATCAATGTTGACGTCTCCCGTGGTCCAAAATGTTTCAAATTGTTGTCTGAAGACAAGGAAAGACCAATCGGTATTCATTATTTTACATTGCTTCTTCTTGTGTTTGTTCTGTGAGGTGTTTGTCATTAATTTTAACATAGTGGTATTTGTAAAAACTAAAAATATCAATATTTTAATTAAAGACTTTTCATTCTGTTATTCATAAGTCTGTATATTAAAAAAAAACTAACATGCAATAATGGCATCTGTACAGTAAGCAGGAGTTGCAAGTTAGAGTCCCGCTTCAAGCCGATTCTTTTCTTCCAGTAATTCTAAAATTATTATTTAAATTATTTAATTAATTTATAATTATTAAATTATTAGTAATATAGCCATTTCTGGCCTGATAATATTTGGCTTTGGTTGATGTATAGCTTTAAAACGTATCGGGTCTAGTAAGGATGTTTCATTATTATATACGCCTTGCCGGGGTTTGCAATGGCTGGTTGAGTGCCTTGGGAGTTGCATGTCATAGACGCTGAATGCGTCCCCAGCAGGCATTGTAATAACCGTCGATGGTTATGTTGTTAGCTTATATATGTTGGAAGAGGAAATGGAACCGAAGGTCCGGGTAGTGTATTTGGCAATAATTTTATATGAATTAATATATCATTTTAAAAAGACTAATTTTTTAATAAATATACATATTTTATACAGTTAAATTTTTTGAGCAATTGCAAAAAAATATAGCTGATGATAATACTGACAGATATTTTTTTCTATACTTCTATATTCTAATTGTTCTTTTAATTACTTTATCTAATGCTTTGCTTCTATCTCTTTATTGTTTATTTAACTTATCATACTTTAAATGTCACAAAAGATAAATTTCTATAATTCGTTTTTTTTAATAAATAAGATAAAGATAAAGCATTTATTTTATAGAAATTTTCATACTACATTATTTAGTGTACTTTTTAAATTTTTATTATTTTATGTAAATATTTAGTATACTTTTTAAATTTTGTTTTGTTCTCAACTTCTGTTCTTTAAAATCCGTATCTAAAATCCATGATCAAGGAGTTATAAATCATTAATTAACTAATAAGCAATCACACATGTACTTAAAAATAACCTTCCAACTTTAATTTTAAATTATGGATTACAAATATAAATAAATCTGTATAAGATTCATTAACTTTATTTAAAAATAATCATTCATGAAATTGTATTAATAGTTAGTAAATAAATAAATTACATATTGATTCCAAAAAAACCAAATAAAATAATTTAAGTAATTTCTAAAATAAAGTACTCAAAATAATATTCCTTATTATTAGAAATACTCTCAAAATTTAAAATTTTATTAAAATTTATATTATGCTTTTTAAATACAAAAATGTTTCAATTATTTTCTAAACTATTCTTATAATACTTAAAATGTTACACACAAAATCATTTTAACAAAATTTTTATGAGAATTAAAAGTTTATATTATATTGCATTATCATATAAAAAAAATTGAATTGATTTTTTGTTAATGAAAATTTTAAAATATGAAAAATGCACTTAAAAATTAAGTTTACTTGATTAAGTTTAATAAAGCAACACTAGAAAGAGAATTTACAGTAAATTTTAATCATTTATAAGTTTGGATTAAGATGACAAATGACTATTTGCCACAAAATTACTAAAAAAATAAATAAATTTTTCTTATTTGAAAATGTTTGATATACTACTTATTATTTTGTAAATTTATTTTTAATTATTTAAGCAAATACAAATTAAAACCATTGAAATTACAATCTTTTCTCCTATATTTTATGTTGATAGAGAATGTAATTAAATTAGTTTTAGTGCATCAGCTGCACTGAACATTTAACGAAACAAATATAAAATATTTGTTTTGTCAAATGCTAGATTAATTAAAAGGAAACTGATACTACACATTTATAATTACTTCATGATAAAATATATGTTTATTTTAATTATTATTATAATAAATTTATAATAATAATTAAATAACCATTTAAAAATGTTTACCTTGATCTGCTGAAGGTAAAAGACCTCCAGAATTCTTAACTTCTTCAAACTTTGTCATTAACATGTGTAATCTAAATATTAATATATTTATTTAACATTTAGATTTAACTTTAAATATTTTAATAAAAAATTATTTATGACTAAACACTAGTTATAATATTTACTTACTTTGGGGCAGGAATGTTATACTTTTTATTTAAATCATGTTGTAGCCTATCACCAATATATTTATATATTTCAACAATAGTAGAAACAGCCATATCACGAACCTAAATATGAAAATTTAAATAAACTTATTAAATTTTCACTCAATCTTTTATAATGAATAATCAGTTATACTTTAATTATAAGTAACTTTCATTAAAAGGGTATTTTAATTAAAATTATTATTTATGCATTCAATTATATATACATGAACTAATCATTTAATTTGTGGAATCATTCAAAAGTTTTCTTTACACAAATTTCTGAGTAAATAGAGAGGTTGAGGCGCACGTATTTAGCCCAAAACGTGTACGGGTAATGGGTGAACGCCGCCATCTGGCAGTTCTGGACTGTCGATAATGGCGTTTGCTACGTGTAGCTTGGTGAGTACACGATCGGCTTAAACGTCTTCATTTTTTTTGTGTTTGGGGTAAAAATTATGATTTATTTTGCTTCCGCCATTTTTTTCAACTTATTTCCCATGAGTCAATGCGCGATGTTCACTGAGTCACGTGATGTTATGAACGTGTGCCTCAACGATTTTTACTTGGACTTGAAACGTGTAACGTGTACTTCTGCTACCCGTACACATTTAACGTTTGAACTCGTGCCTCAACCTCTCTAATATATTCATCTATGAAGATGACCAGCCTTCATTACATGCTGATCAGCTCCTACAGTCTCAATTTTGTTACTTGTTTGTAGATTTTATATTAATAGTCATTGATTATAATTTTGAAACTAAAGCTATGTCACCAGACAAGCACTTATTTTATACCTTTAGTAACAAAAATGAATCCTTATATTTGCACATTTTGTGCCTCAAAGAAAACTCTGAACAAGGAAGCACATGCCAAGATTCTTATAATAAAACATCATTTTGCCATTTATGATAAATGTCCTAAAGTTATTATTGTGAAATGATAATTTCTCCATCATGATAACACTAGAATTTCTCTATATGATACCACTTACTGATAATACTGTGTAGCCAATATTACAATAGGAACCAAGGTCCTGTCACATTCTTCATAGTCAGGGAACTCAATCCTGTGTGATTTCTTCGTTTTCATGACTGATGACAGCTCCTTTTCAGATGTGAAGCACTTCCACATTTGATAAGGAGCTATCACAAAGTTATAATGACAATGCCTCAACATTTGCCCAAAAGTAGACTCAAGAAAGCACACGATTCATTGATAGAAAGATGGTAGATACTGTATATAGGTCAAAAGAGAGTACTTCAAGTATGATAAATCCTAAGAAGACAGTGCATTACATTAAGGAAAAAAAAATCTAGCATTATTCAACAAAATAAGTGATCAGCCCTTGTATTTATTAATTCATAATCAATTTAGTTATCACATTTAAACAATTTCTGAGATAAGTGTAAACATTGCATTAAATGTTGTTATAAAAAATAAGAGCATTTGAATAGCATTGAATATTAATTTAATGTAATATTAATTTTATTTATTGAAATTTAGATGTTTACCTAACATTAAATTAATATTCAATGTTAGGTAAATATCTAAATTTCTTTTCTCAGTATTTAAAGATGTTTATATATAAAACTATGAGCAATAACTGTTCAAAGCAAAGTTTGAGATTTAAAAATCAATTAAAATCAATATAAAAAGTACTGATGTTAATAATAAACACTTTATAAATACAATATAAAATTTAAAAATTCTTTAAAATGTACAAACATTACAAAAACAATAATTAAATGGCCTGAAATAAAACCAGGTTAAGTCCATTTTTTACATGAAATGCATTTTCTATAGTTTTGGGTCAATAGTGGTCTGGTGCATGATTTCCAGATTGGAAATGAAGTCTCACCCTGACTCATGTATGTAATGTACCTTGAATTGCATCCAGGAATGAAAAGGGATGCAGTGAATGATTTTTACACTTTCTGCTCCTGGCTGTCCCGTGAATTCTCTGTATATAAACCCATTAGACATTAAAAAACTTGTAAGTTGGATGATATGAAAAAGTTGTTCAAATACTTATACAAATTTGTACATTCTGCCTTAACTCACAAACTGACAAGTGAGGAGAGAGAGGATGGTTTAATTTTTTTTTATTTTACTACATGCAATAATATTACAGAACAATAAAGGATTTACTTAAAAATTGTCTTTAAACACTTCCTGATCTGAAAAAAAGCCAAAAATCTTCATATGAAATGGGTTCAGAAAAGAAAAAGTGTAGGTCCATGGGCTTTAAATGACCATATTTCTGTACTAGTAAGATAATTTGAAAATTTTCTTTGTGGACTATATCAGGATACACAAAATCCTTCATTAATTACTAACAAAATTGAAGCAGTTACATTTTTTTGCTTTTCCTGTAAAATTTCAGTTTGTGGACATATTTAATGTTCATTCCTGTTTGATTCATATTTCAAATTGTTTATTTTTTTAGTGAAAAAACTATTTTAAAGATTTTTTTGTGGGTCCCAGAAAAGATTCTACATGAGAATTTTTCCAAATGCAATGCCCCTACTAAAATATTAAACTTTATTAATTGTATAAAATAAATTTTAGTTATATATTATTTAACAATCATTATGTTATAAAAGTATTAACTTCATGGAAAAAGATTTTGCATTGTTTATTTACAGTAATACTTGATATGATAATAGGTATCATTTTAAAGTATTACTAAAAGTTACTGTAAAATCTTAAATAATACATTATTCAAAAACCAATGAATAATTTCGCAAAAGATATAATGAAAATTTTTCCTGTTTATTTTACATTAAATGAATTACAGCTATCAACTTCTCTATTTATACATTTAAAATCTTACCTGTGAATTTGGATCACTTAACAATTTGATAATTGAAGGTAATAACTTAGTTATAGATAATGAATGAGCACCATGCCTAGAAACAAAATATTTTGAATTTAAAAATATAATATATATAAAACTTTTAATATAATTTTGTTTTTAAAATAGTAAATCAAATATGATATATATGATGTAAAATGATATATGATGAAAAAATATATATAAAATATGAAAAAAAAATTATTATTTTTCATATTTTACAGCAATTTTATTGTTTTTATAAACAAATTATCAAATCCAATATAGTGTTTTTCCCCTCTATTGTTAATTCATTTGTTTAATGAAAATGATAAAAGCAAAATTGAAAATTTTGATTACTTTTCTTTATAATAAATTTGTTATAAAGAATTCCTTAACAGTTTTATTTTCTTTTTTCCTGCTAATGTTTAAAAAAACAACTAAACTCTAAAAAGCTTGCAATAAAGCAAAGTGATTTTATAAAGATTCAAAAATAATATTTAATACATAATAGAATTGTAATTGCCATTTTTATTGTTTACTGTTAATCCATTAGAGCAGAAGCATCAAAACATATTAATCTATTATTTATAAAAACATAAATGTCATTATACAACTTTTCAACTAAATTTGAACAAAAGAAATAATGGAACAAATGGAAAAACAACATAACAATTTAAAGAAACTGCTATGTTCTTTTTCCATTTGTTGTCTATCTGAAGATTATGAAATTGTAACTTCAACCAAAGAACTTTCAAGAGGATTTTAACTTCTGTACTTGTGGATATTTTATATTACTTTAAAATATTAACATCAAAAATCATTTTTTTTTAAATTTTAATTAATCTACAATTTACTTAACTTTATTACTGTATATAAATAACAAGCAACTCCACACCTTCTGTATATTTTCCAGCAAAAAAACTTTAATGGAACAAATGTTTTTGATCTGTTTTAGAGACCTTCCTCAGGTTTTAAAACTATTCTAAACTTTAATATTCTACAGAATGTTCCAAACTGAAAACGTTCAAATGCAATGTGACATAATTTAAAAATTTTTTATAAACAAAACATTATATATAGAATATATACCAAAATAAATAACAATAAACAATACAAAACAAAACAAAACTAACATGAAATACAATAAACTAAACTAACAACCCTGATGAAGGCTTCTAAAAAAAGGCTAAAAACATTTGTTCCATTAAAGTTTTTGCTAGAAAACATGTAGAAGGTGTCAAGTTGCTTATTGTTAAATGAGTTCTATTTTCTGAAAAGTATATCATTGTATATAAATATGTAATGATTTTTCAATCATTTATCTAACTTCACTTTTGTTAAAGTTAGACATTAAATTTTATGAAGTATCCTGAATGATAAATTTATAATTAGCATTACTAATTTTCAATTAGTTATTTACCTTTCTAATGTTTCTTTTAAACAAATCATAACTTCTTCTCTAACTCTCCAATTTCTATGGCCAAAGGCAGGAACAAGTTTTTCAAATACATACTGAAATATATTTTCATATTAATATTATAAAAAACAAAATATATAATTTAATATTAAATAAATAATTTAAGTTACAATATTTTATATACTAAATTCTCTAATTATACATTCTCATGTTTTTCTTACATAAAAATCTTTGCCTGATGTATATTGTATTTATAAAAGAAAAACGGGTCTTAAATTATTTACATTATCCTTTCAAATAACTTAACTTCTCACATTATTTATAAAATTTACTGTAACATTAGTTAACCAATATAAATATAATATGATAATATTATACTGATTAAATATGAACTTTGTATATTCACTTTTAAATATTTATTACTTGTATTTTTATTATGAATTAAAAGATTTCCAACTAATAAATTTTTATAATTTAAATTATCATCCTGCTATTTACCAGTTTTTACTAATTTTATTAATGTTAATATACATACATATTTAAGATTTAGCCATTGATATAGGAAATTTATTTTACACATTGAGGCAGATAAGAGCCTACAATAAAAGGTCAACCATGCTATAAGACTGTTCCTGAGATGTAAAAAGCACAAAAGAAAAATGAAGAATTCCTGTGTTTTCTTCAATTAATTTCTTGTGACAACTTTTTAAAAATTTACAAGAAAATCTTAAAATGTAATTATTGTCTTAGCTATTTACTAGTTTTTACTAGTTTTATTATTAATAAATTTTTATAATGAAAGTAGTAATGATTAAAATATTTACCTGAGGGGAAGCGACATCACTCATAAGCTTTAAAAGGAATGTTTTTGCTTGTTCCCTGACCTTAAAAATAAAAGGTTTTATAAGGTTTTAAGAATATTATAATTTTTTAAAATCATAATTAGTTTGAATAAATTAAAATTTCCTAAACCTTAATTTTAATGAAAGGCTTAAACACTGAAGAGTAAAAAAAAAGGATATTTATATGCCCAACAATTGAGAAAACAATATACTATAATAATAAATTGATGATATATAAATCAAGTAAAATAATTTTAAATAATTATATAATAGATTAATTTTATTACTGTTTACAACCAACAACTGGTGTTTAAATAAACTATTTTTATATCACATTGAAAAAATAAACTTAGTTATCATTGTTTTAGTTTTGTTATAATAATCCAATCAGTAAGTTTTAATATTTTATGATTAATAAATCTTCTAATCTGATTATTTAACCCAATAACTCACTATAAAACTTTATATTCTCAGTTATGACACCAAATATACTATACATAAGAAATTGTACTGATATATGGATAATGCTTTATAAAAACTTAAAATCTTAATTTTTATCTAGATTTTTTTTCGTTTTAACTGCATTTATACTTTATTTTACTTAGCCTTAACTTAGCTATCTATTTTCGTATGTTATTTATTCTTTAATCTCATTTTATATATTGATAACACTTTCTATATCTGTTTTAAATCAATACTTTATCACACATGTGCAAAAACTAACACATTTAGGTTAAAAACTTTATGATTCATAATGTAAAGAGATTTTAAAATCAGTGATCGAATTTTACATATTCTTTTTTCACCTGAGGAAGATATTTTTAAATGTCTAAAGTACTTGTGTTTAATTCATCAAACAAATAAATTTTATGCTGAAAAACAGTACAATTTCTTACATATAATAACTCACTGTAATCTTCTATCTTAATATAGCATATCATTACTCAATTTTAAAAAGTTTTCTTAATAGCCCCCAATTAAATCTACAATATTCATTGTGAGAGAAAAGTAAATAACAGAATAATATTTAATATAAAATGATGGCAATTTCCATTTTACAATTTATGAAAATTCATTAATGATAAATAAATAGTGTGATACTGTAAGTCTGAAAGAATCATTCTGAACATAAATAGTTTCTTTTGTAATATATTAAAAGCCTATAATTCATAATATAATGTAAATGTTTCAAAATGAAATAATCTGAAATGTAAGTTTTTCAAAAATTTTAACAACGGTTTCATCCATTTTTAGTCTGACATAAAACTTTTTATGCTATATTTGGATCCATTATTTTTTAAATGGGAATGAATATGTTTATTATGCAATCAATTCTACTCATATTTCTGATCAATTTGCATTTAATAAGCTAAGCTAATATAATGTTCCTTTGTTCTTAAATTATAAAGTTTAACAATAAAAATACAGCATTGATTTAAAAAATATCTGCAGCTTTCTGAAGATTCAATATTTTAATAATGTTTCTTTGCATAATGTTCTTAAAGTCCGCGTTCAGTTTTACACTCCAATAACTAAAAATACACATGTATTAAAACTATATAGTAAATATTTGACAGCATAACTTTAGGGTATTGCATCCTTTCTCCTTTTTCCCTCTTTCTTTTATGTTTAAATTTCTATTTAAGAAAAATATAGATTTCTTTTTTTAAGTTTATTCTATAATCTTATCAATCATTGTATTACAATTGATAATGAACAATAAACTAAACTAACAACCCTGATGAAGGCTTCTAAAAAAAGGCTAAAAACATTTGTTCCATTAAAGTTTTTGCTAGAAAACATGTAGAAGGTGTCAAGTTGCTTATTGTTAAATGAGTTCTATTTTCTGAAAAGTATATCATTGTATATAAATATGTAATGATTTTTCAATCATTTATCTAACTTCACTTTTGTTAAAGTTAGACATTAAATTTTATGAAGTATCCTGAATGATAAATTTATAATTAGCATTACTAATTTTCAATTAGTTATTTACCTTTCTAATGTTTCTTTTAAACAAATCATAACTTCTTCTCTAACTCTCCAATTTCTATGGCCAAAGGCAGGAACAAGTTTTTCAAATACATACTGAAATATATTTTCATATTAATATTATAAAAAACAAAATATATAATTTAATATTAAATAAATAATTTAAGTTACAATATTTTATATACTAAATTCTCTAATTATACATTCTCATGTTTTTCTTACATAAAAATCTTTGCCTGATGTATATTGTATTTATAAAAGAAAAACGGGTCTTAAATTATTTACATTATCCTTTCAAATAACTTAACTTCTCACATTATTTATAAAATTTACTGTAACATTAGTTAACCAATATAAATATAATATGATAATATTATACTGATTAAATATGAACTTTGTATATTCACTTTTAAATATTTATTACTTGTATTTTTATTATGAATTAAAAGATTTCCAACTAATAAATTATCATCCTGCTATTTACCAGTTTTTACTAATTTTATTAATGTTAATATACATACATATTTAAGATTTAGCCATTGATATAGGAAATTTATTTTACACATTGAGGCAGATAAGAGCCTACAATAAAAGGTCAACCATGCTATAAGACTGTTCCTGAGATGTAAAAAGCACAAAAGAAAAATGAAGAATTCCTGTGTTTTCTTCAATTAATTTCTTGTGACAACTTTTTAAAAATTTACAAGAAAATCTTAAAATGTAATTATTGTCTTAGCTATTTACTAGTTTTTACTAGTTTTATTATTAATAAATTTTTATAATGAAAGTAGTAATGATTAAAATATTTACCTGAGGGGAAGCGACATCACTCATAAGCTTTAAAAGGAATGTTTTTGCTTGTTCCCTGACCTTAAAAATAAAAGGTTTTATAAGGTTTTAAGAATATTATAATTTTTTAAAATCATAATTAGTTTGAATAAATTAAAATTTCCTAAACCTTAATTTTAATGAAAGGCTTAAACACTGAAGAGTAAAAAAAAAGGATATTTATATGCCCAACAATTGAGAAAACAATATACTATAATAATAAATTGATGATATATAAATCAAGTAAAATAATTTTAAATAATTATATAATAGATTAATTTTATTACTGTTTACAACCAACAACTGGTGTTTAAATAAACTATTTTTATATCACATTGAAAAAATAAACTTAGTTATCATTGTTTTAGTTTTGTTATAATAATCCAATCAGTAAGTTTTAATATTTTATGATTAATAAATCTTCTAATCTGATTATTTAACCCAATAACTCACTATAAAACTTTATATTCTCAGTTATGACACCAAATATACTATACATAAGAAATTGTACTGATATATGGATAATGCTTTATAAAAACTTAAAATCTTAATTTTTATCTAGATTTTTTTTCGTTTTAACTGCATTTATACTTTATTTTACTTAGCCTTAACTTAGCTATCTATTTTCGTATGTTATTTATTCTTTAATCTCATTTTATATATTGATAACACTTTCTATATCTGTTTTAAATCAATACTTTATCACACATGTGCAAAAACTAACACATTTAGGTTAAAAACTTTATGATTCATAATGTAAAGAGATTTTAAAATCAGTGATCGAATTTTACATATTCTTTTTTCACCTGAGGAAGATATTTTTAAATGTCTAAAGTACTTGTGTTTAATTCATCAAACAAATAAATTTTATGCTGAAAAACAGTACAATTTCTTACATATAATAACTCACTGTAATCTTCTATCTTAATATAGCATATCATTACTCAATTTTAAAAAGTTTTCTTAATAGCCCCCAATTAAATCTACAATATTCATTGTGAGAGAAAAGTAAATAACAGAATAATATTTAATATAAAATGATGGCAATTTCCATTTTACAATTTATGAAAATTCATTAATGATAAATAAATAGTGTGATACTGTAAGTCTGAAAGAATCATTCTGAACATAAATAGTTTCTTTTGTAATATATTAAAAGCCTATAATTCATAATATAATGTAAATGTTTCAAAATGAAATAATCTGAAATGTAAGTTTTTCAAAAATTTTAACAACGGTTTCATCCATTTTTAGTCTGACATAAAACTTTTTATGCTATATTTGGATCCATTATTTTTTAAATGGGAATGAATATGTTTATTATGCAATCAATTCTACTCATATTTCTGATCAATTTGCATTTAATAAGCTAAGCTAATATAATGTTCCTTTGTTCTTAAATTATAAAGTTTAACAATAAAAATACAGCATTGATTTAAAAAATATCTGCAGCTTTCTGAAGATTCAATATTTTAATAATGTTTCTTTGCATAATGTTCTTAAAGTCCGCGTTCAGTTTTACACTCCAATAACTAAAAATACACATGTATTAAAACTATATAGTAAATATTTGACAGCATAACTTTAGGGTATTGCATCCTTTCTCCTTTTTCCCTCTTTCTTTTATGTTTAAATTTCTATTTAAGAAAAATATAGATTTCTTTTTTTAAGTTTATTCTATAATCTTATCAATCATTGTATTACAATTGATAATGAATGGCAACTTCATACATGTATATTTGTGAAATTTATTTTTATGATTAAGACATTATTTAATAAGATAAATATTTTATAATTTGTTTTAATGACTATGTAAATATATATTTCTGTTTAAATAAATATATTCTAAAATTTATATGCTTTTCCTGCTATAAAATGGCAAAATTAATTTTTATTAGTCAAGCAAAAACATAACTATACTAAATATATTATTGCCCAAAAAAATAGAATAAATAATACACTTTTATTTTTGTTAAAAATTTGCTTCTTATCCTTCTCTTTTACGGTTATCAACCTTCTAGTCTGAGTACTTATATTTTTTTGGGATGTTTTCACTTGGACATAAACCTTTTTTTGTCTGTTCTACTTTATTAAATATGCATTTAGGATAGTTCTGGCCCTCTTCAGTTTAAAACAAATTCTTTCCTGGTTCAATGTAAAGTAGATGCTTTCTGAAATGCATATTTAATAAAGTCAAACAGCAAAAAAAGGTCTCTTGGGGTCCAAGTGAAAACATTCCCCAAAAAGGTATGGTAAGTTCTCTGACTAGAAACCAATAAAGAAGCTTCATAAAGAAGAATCATTAAACTTTTATTTTTATTGGAAATTGAATATATCATCACCATCCAATGACATTTGATTATGACCAGTAAAATATATTTGCTTAACACACAGTATTTTTAAAGCAATACACAGTATGTAATGCTAGATATTACAATAAAATTTTGCCAGTGCTAAATAATTTTAAAATAATTTTTTTGGAAAATTAATATAACAATTTTGACTAAACTTTAATTTTTAACATTGTTTGTTTTAATTTCAACTGTATTTCCTCAAAATAAACTTTAAGAAAATGTATATGTATTTTTAAAAGCAATTTTTTATTTTGTGTATATTTTCATTAATTATTATACAATTTGAAAATAGAGCAAATGGGTTTAACAATCAAACTTGGATAAAAAGATCAAAAGAAATATTTAAAGTGTATTTTTTTTATCATTAGATTTTCTTATAATTTAGTCTTAAAAAAATTGCCATAAATCTGTGAAGCATCAGATCTTTTATCTTCAAAAAAATTGCCTTTTTTATAGAAACTATATATTTGAAATATATAATTACTATAAAATATTTAGAAACGTTTTAAAAATTAAAATTCATTCATAGATTATGTTTATACAGTAGCATTAAAGAACGGTTATTGCAGGTTCTAAGGAAAAATGCATATGGACATAATTTATAGCAGGTAAATATAAATTATTAAATGGATCTCCTTTCTGTGAAAAAATTTATTTAAAAAATTGAATGATAAATGATAGAATTATGCTTTAAAATATCAATTACTTTTGAAAGCTCTTAAAATTTTTATTTTATCAAGGAAAATGGGTGGCACCTTATGAAATACTGATTTTATTTGAATAATAGCTGCAGCTACTATTTTAAACTGCATTTTTCTCTGTGGTTACTATTTAAAGGCAGTTATTATTTCCTTTGCACATACCTGTTTGATGCATGTTGTTAATAATGTGTTTAAATATTTATTTATGAATGCTTGATTTTAAAACTAATTATAATTGAAATGACAACTGGTATTTTTATTTGTAATGAATTACTTCAAACTTTTAAAATGCAGTGCAATTTTAATTTTCAAATGTATTTGATCATGTTAAATGACCTTCTGAACAGAAAGAAACAAGTCCTTAGAATTTCAGTACTCAGTTTTATGACAAGTTTTAGAGAAGTTTTACTTTCTATATACCAGTAATAAAATATAATTAAAAATATGTATACTGTATTTTGTATGTTTTATTTCATTTTTATTGAAGTTTGCTTATTAAATAAATAAATATACCTGATACCTACCTAATTAATACATAATCCTCACCAAGTACCTTAATTTGCTGAAATTATTTACTTTGATACAAACTAACATTTTCAGCCTATCCTATAGGCCAGGGCTTCTTAAACTATGGGTCGCAACCCCATTTGGGGTCGCTTAGCAAAATCTTGGGGTCTCAAGATTTTAATGCAAAATATTGAAAATAATTTGTGAAAGTTTGAAAATGGCATGCTTTGTGTCATAGGTTTTGTGAGTTGCACTTTGTGTCACTTCTGGTGCAGTGAGACAACGATTCAGCAACACTGTAGTGTGTACTAGTGTAGTGTTGTCGCTTTTCAGTGTATTCAGTTTTTCTCTGTTCTATTGTAACACAAGACTGAACTGTGGTAGTACACCATTATTGTTTTTGCAAATTTGTATATATCTTTATTTTATATTTTTTTTGGGTTGTGAAAAAAATCACAATCATAAATGGGGTCGTGAATAAAAAAAGTTTAAGAAGCTCTGCTATAGGCCATCTTCAAGTTTACATAATTTGAAGATGGCCTATAGAAGCTTTTAGAAGCTCCTAATCTACCTCACTTAATGATATTTACTACTATATTTCATTTTATACTTTTATTTTTGTTATTTGTTATATTTATGTTACTTGTTATTTTTTTGAATATTTTCCTTTTCTTTTATATTTTTTCCATTGTTTTTCCTGTTAATTTTTTTCATTTAAAATTTTTAATGTTTTATTTTGGAACACTCACTTTGTAACTGTCATTCCAAAAGTTATGTAAACTTGAAGGCAGTCTATAGAATAGATTGAAAACATTAGTTTGTACCAAAATAAATAATCTCAACAAACTGAGGTGCTTGGTGAGATTGTGTATTATTTAAGTCTGTGCTGAATATAGTGTTGTGGTTTATGATACCTACCTACAATAGTTTATGCTAATTATTTAATTTTGTAATTGTTTTCCCTAAGTTTTCAGAAATCCTTAAATAGTAAATGTGATTATTATTTCAAGCCTTGAGGAGAAAATTCAGTTACTATTTGAGATAGGTTATACAAATAAAACCAGTATACAAACCATTTTTATCTGGGAAAATTATTACATCCAATTATTCCTTAATTTCTAAACAATTAGATAGGAAATTTTAAATTAGTCTGTTATAAAGAATGGCTGAGAAAGATTAGAAATACATTTCAAAAACTTATATAGAGAAAAATTGAAACCAGAAAAGCATTATCACAAAATGAAACAGCAACTCAAAAGATCTTTCTCCATTTTTTAATACTTTACTTCAAGTTAAACTACCCTTTGCAATATCATTTAGTATTTAAATTCCCAGAAAATACTAAATTTAGCAAGATTTGATATTAATGGATTTCTTCCTCCAGACATATTAAATTGATCGGTTGTGAAGTGTCTGTGAATAGTAAAAGATTTGAAAGATTTAATATCTATAATCTGTAGTGACATTTTCTAATAATCTGAACAACTTGTAGATATTTCATAAGCAACAAAGCAGATTAATTAGAAATATACAAAAATATTGAAAAATGGGGAAAAATCTGAGTTTCTGTAGCATATTGTGATAAAAGTAGTTAAAATGAACAGAAGCAGAAACTATTTAAAATGTAGCTACTTTTTGTGAAAAATATTTTACATTCATCTAAAAGTTTACATTATATTATGGATTATATGCTTTAAACATATTACAGAAGGAACTATATTCAGAATAATCCTTTCAGATTTACAGTATCACACTATTTATTTATCAATAATGAATTTTCATAAATTTTAAGATGGAAATTAAATATCTAATATAAAATGGTGACAATCTGTTATTATATAATTAATTATAAATATAAAAATCAAATACATACTTGGTCTTTACTATCTCCTAAGCGATCAACTACAGCAGAAAAAACTGCAACAAGAAGAAAATTTTTATTGAAATATTAAGAAACTATAAAATTTACATAAAAATCTTCCATTTTATTGTATTAAAACTTTAGTTTAATCCATTTTAAAATTTTAAAAATTAAAATAAATATAAATAGCAATTAATTTGCAATTTCTAATAAATATGGAAATTACAAATTAATTGCTCTTTATTATTTTATATTTATTTTAATAATTAATATCATATATAATTGTAATAATTATTGTATATATTCCTGTAAATTATGTAAAACACTTTCAATAAATAAATTTCTACTTTTAACTTTAATTTTCAGATTGGATTCAATTATGTAAACAATTTCTTAAAGATAAAATATGAAAGTATATCAATTATTTAATAGAAAATTGTCATAACTACTATAAAATTATCATCATAAAGTTTAAGGGTTTGGAAAATATATGTCAACATATATAGTTTCCAAGAATCAAGCACAAAAGTTGTTTTATTTTTTTATTAAGTAACTTTATGTCTTACAGTTCATTTTTTAAGAAACGGGAAACAAGAATTTTGAAATTCAAACAGTTGTTAAGGTTTGTACAAAACTAAAATGGGGAGAATAGTTTTGTACAAACTTATAGTTTATAAAGAGGATGCTTCAAAGCAAGCTACAGTTTACAAGTGGATAAAGCATTTTCAAGATAGCAGGAAAGACATTAGAGATGAGTGTCCCGAAAAGCCTTCAACCTCAATCAGTGAAAAACTGTGGCCAATGTTCGGTTGATAATTGAAGAAGATAGTGTTCTCCTACATGAAATAGTTGTAAGAATAAGTATCTCTTAAGGTTCAACTCAATCAATTATCCCTGATCATTTAAGACTGCATAAACTTTCTGCAAGATAGGTAGCAAAAGTATTAAACTATAACACATAGTTAACAGAGCTAAGCATGCTGTTCAATTTCTCAACTAGTTAGACTCTGATTTGGAAATGTTTTATCATTACTTAGTAAATACTAAAAATGAGACATGTATTTACCAGTATGATCCAGAAAGCAAAATGCAAAACAGTTGTTAGCAACAGGTTCTTTGAGTCCAATTGAAATCAAAGCCAAACAATTTGCTCATACAGTTATAGCCCCCAGTTTTATGGAATTGTGAAAGTATAATTTTGGTAATTTTTTGGAAAGATAGGAAGCTGTTATGCTCAAGATTTGTGCAAACTAAAGAAAACAATTAAGAAAAAATGGACAGAAAAGTTGCACAAATGAACCTTGTTTCACCACAACAGTGCACCTACATATTCCTTAAAAGACCTTGAGCTTACTGCATGAATTCAACTGGAAACTACTTTCAAATTCTACCTATAGTCCAGAATTGACACCCTTGGACTTTTTTTGTTTCTGAAGTCTGCTGGGAGTTACTTTATGAGGCAAAACATGCTACAATGCAGTGGTTCAATTCTCATAATGCAGAATTTTATAGAAATAGATTGAAAAGGTAGAAGCATTGCTATGAGAAGTGTTTAGAGTTGAAAGCATTGTATGTAGAAACAAAAATTAAAAAATATAAAGTTTTGTTCTCTGCACAGTGTTCTAATATGATTTATTTATTATACCTTTGTAATGGCATGTCAATTATGTAACTCTCTACTTTTTTGTATAATTTTATTGTTAAACATATGAATTATCCTTCATTTAGCTTCTTGTTTGATATATTGTACTAAAATATTATTCCAGCAACCTGTTAGTGCTGTTTTACCAAACTTATAATACATCAAAGTCATTGTGATAAGTTTGGTAAAACAGCACTAACAGGTTGCTAAAATAATATTTTATTACATACAAATTTATATATAAATGAAATATTCATAAGTCATTTTATTATATGTGTTTGCATATATCATATATATAAAATTTAAATAAATGTAAGACCTGTCAAAATTGTTGTTTAATGTATATTTTATTTCACATAGCATGAAAATAGTTCAAGGATTGAAATGCTAAAAACTTTTTTTGTCTATTTTATAGTTTGTTATAGAATAAATAAATTTAAATACAGTATGACAAAATTCCATGTTTGAAGTATTAAGATCTATCTTATAAAAACCATAAACATTATAATAAATTCTGATTTTCAGATTGTCTCACCTGTATGAATATAATGCCTGAAGTGTTCTCTCAACCTTTCTGATAAAATTCCTAAAATTTCTAATCCATTTTGAGCTACCTAAAATGAAAATTATGAACATTATCATCTTATTAAATTTAAAGTTCTTTGCATAAATTATTCTAATTAAAATTTATAACTTTTGTCATTTATCATTATTTGTTCTAAAGCTAATTAAAAATTCATTCAAATTAATAAAGTTCTTGTGAATTAGTGCCTCTGCCAACACCAAAGTTCAAAATAAATAATTTCTGGCCTACCAACAGCATTGGAAAAAGTATTATAATTTTTCATTGTTTGCACCGATTTAAACTTTATAAATAACTCATATCATATATAAAATTCCATTTTAACTTGAATAAATTTTTGATTTTATTATTGTTAGAATTTCTTAATTAGTTAAAAGATTAATTCCATAATTTGAAGGTATAATATATTAAAATCAAAGCCATTTTCCTAAATGTCTTTATATATATAGTAACAGGAACAGAAGACTGCATATGGAATGACTAGAAGACCAAAGTAGGTCAAAACTTTCTGGAATACTAAATAAAAGTGAAAAAATAAACAACAGTAATAAATTTACTATATAAACAAACTGAAATTTTAATAATTTACATGAAAAATTTTTTACAATAAACTACACTAAAATATCAGAATAAATTCAGAATGAGCAATGACCCAAATAAATATTCAGATTCAATAACTTAAAAATTTAACACTCATGAAATAAAAATACTGTGTATACAATTATTTAAGATTAATATATTTTAATCAATACAGTATGAACCTAGATCACACTTTCAAAGCAAAATACAAAATATTATGTTAAGCAACTTTTTCAAAGCTCATGAAATACACTTTAAAAAGTTAAATCAAATTTACTACATAAATATAAAAAGTGCCATTACGGAAATGTACTCAAAGAACTTACAACATTATAATTTACTATATAAATTGTTAAATGTATGTAAATTATTTACAACATTTTTTGATAAATAAACTAATATTGCCTCCTGTAAAACTAAGAATACATAATATAAACATCTCAAGCTCAATATTGATGATAAAGCCAGACGATTGCTGGATTAAATCCAGCTACTTTACTTCGATTTAATCCAGCTTTAAGAATACATAAAAAAATTACATTTAAGAATTTTGGTATTAAGAATAAGGATAAAATGATAAAACAAACAGAGTAAGCAAAGTGAATGAGACTGACATGAATGATGTAATATAGAGGAGTATGTGGGAGGTATTATTTTGTACTGCATTTTATACACCACACCCTACAAACCAGTCTTTCCATCCTACTTGCATTATTGAAATTTATAAAAGTTTAATTGAACATTTCAGCTTCAAAGTTAAAAGTACACACTTTAATATTATTATGCTCCAGAATAAAACAGATTAATTTGATAAAAAGTTAATGATGTTTTATAAAATTGCAACATACTTAGTCTTGCATTATAAATGAATGATAATGTAAATTTTTCTCCAAAGTTATTTATGAAGATGATAATCTTATTCCTGGAAAACTGAGAATAATCTTTTTTCTTTAAATTTCAATGTAATAATATTACTTCATAAATTATTACAGTTACTAAATAAAATATGACAATGATTCAGTCAATATCATTATATAAATTTCAAATGCAACTAAAACAGGATTTTATCTACAGTAAATCAGAAAACTCAAAGTATTTTCATGTACTTTAGAAGTTTATAATATATGCTCTAAAAATATAAGGAACTCCTGAAGTGTATGTTAACAATCTGGAGTCCAGATTGCAGAATTTTACATTGAAGTCATTAAAAAGCAGACTACAGTCTAGACTCCACTATTATTAACTTCAAAAGAATTTTACTTAATAAATGCAAAAACAGTGAGGCAATGATTATGTTGTAATGCTGATTTTTTTCATTTTAAATTCAAAATCATTTTCTCAAAAAATTATTTACTACTCGTAAAAGGTTAGCTTGTAAACAATTCTACAGAACAGACTGTGTATATTCAGTGTCATACAGATATAGATATACTTTATTAATAATAAAGTTCAGTAAGCTTAACAATACATGTAGCTTTGAACATTAAAAAGGTTTTGTAACAAAATACATGACTAAATCTACATATTTTGCAGTTTTTAAATAATTTAAATCTCAGAATAACACACTTATAAAAGAAAAATCAAAATATATTGAATGATTTATCAATAAGAACACCAAATAATTATTAATGTAAAAAAGGATAAAAATTCAGGTTAAGATTTATGTTTATTGTAGCAGAAAATTAGCTAATAAACAATTATAGTAGGCTCAAATTTAATAACTATATTATAAGCAATTTCTAGTTTATTACATAAGAATTTATCTAAAATGAAATTTTTAATCATCACTTCAACAAATATATACTCTTTACACATGATTATTTCCAATTAGATCATTAAAGTGAATGATCAAGATTTTCTGAATTAAAAAAGAATTTTTTTTTGTTTTTAGAAAACAATCACAATCTATTTCTGAAGTTCATTTTCAAAATGTTTAAATATTCTGATCTCAGACCTATGATATATTATAAATTAAATATAATTTAAATTTATTGATAATTGGCATTGTTTCGTTTTTTTTCTTTAAATTCAGATTAAGGAATAGATTTCTTAAAATCAGGTTAATGATGCATACAGCCAAGTTTCAATGAATGAAAACTTGACAGGCTGTAGGTGTGACAGCCTTGAATCCAAACATAATTAGAATTATGCAATATTACTATGTACGGTTATATATGGAACTAAAAAGCACGCTATAATAATAAATTTGAATACGTACACTGTCTCATATTTATCTAACATCTATGTTAAGTGTTATAGTACTATCTAAAATGATAAAGTTGATCAGCCTTGTTTTTTGAAATTAAACTTATATTGAAACTTAAAAATATTTCCTTCTTTCATCAAAATCTATTGTTAAAATACTATTAATTTACTAAATTTTTTTATATATAATTTGACTTTAAAATCAATTCTGTATAAATGGGAAGGCATGTTAGAATATTGTGACTACTTTTTATAATTATTCAGATGAGAGAAGAGCTATATATAAACATACATAACTTACAAAACATCATGACTAGAATCATAATGATTTACTTTCCAGTAGTACAAAATGAAAAAAAAGGGTGGATATTTTTGAAATTAATAATTTAAATATGTATTTTTTAAGATTAATATTAAACATTCCATAAATCAATTTTATTTATTTTTAATTTTAAAATTCTGAATTAAAGCTAAGATAGAAGTAATGAATAGTTTTATCATCAGATGTAAAAATATTGTTTTATACAATGTTTCTTTTACCTAAAATGTTCGTTGAATTTATCTGCAATATTAAAATGCATTGTTATAAATATCAAAAACTATGTATAAAATATTACTGAAAACTATTCTATATAAATTTTATAGCATAGCAAATGCTATTCTGATAAAGAGGTCATTTTTTATTTTCGGTATTAGATGTTTTTCAAGTCCGTGTGACTGACATCTTCATAGGTATGTGAAGATGAGTCAAATAAACTTAAAAACCATTTAATACCGAAAATAAAAACTTACCTCTTTATCATAATAGTGTCAGAGATTTATAATGTAACATGTGGTTGGAACTTGAGGACATTAAAATTTTGTTGAATAAAGTTTACAATTTCTTGTCAAAATTAAAGGGTAAACATGAAAATTAAACAGTCATTTTTTTTGCTATGCGACTAAATGTTCTAGCTAAAATTATTTTTAAATACATGACTAAACTGTAAAATTAATGCATGCTTTACATTTTAATAAATGCATGTACCAAATACAGTATATAAATGTTTAAAAACATATCAATGTGTCTGTAGTCCTTCTCTACACTTCGCTTTGGATTATTGGGGTTACATAAACATTCCTGCACAAAATCATTAGTTCAGATTAGCAAGAGTGCACTATACTATTATATTTCTGTAGATATGTTTTTCACTTCTTTATATAATTTTAAAATAGAAAAACTGATTTGATTTAAATCTAAATTAAAGTGTTGTTATATATCATAGGATATAATTTAAAAAGACACACGAGATTTCAAAATTTCTGTTTTTAATTTAATATGCTTCATAATCAATTTATGTCTATATCAAATTCAATTTAAACTACATAAAGTTTTTTTCCTTTTTTTTTTATAAATAAAAAAATTTAATATATTTTTTCTAAAATATCACAAGAATAAATATTTATTTTTATGATAAGTGTCAAAACATTATTATAAAAATATTTCTACAGTACTTATAAATAATATGTACTCGGTTTTTTCAGTTCTCTCTTATTTACAATAATTAAATTTTACCACTACATTAAAAAAAATTATTATTATATTTTTACGGAGGTAAAAAAAATCAATCAATAAAAACAATATTACAACATTAAACCTTAATACCGTAAAAAATATCATTAGTATTTTTTGGAAACAAACTTGTCATCAAGAACATCTGTTACAAACACTGCTGTGTATTAACTGCATGCATCAAATAATAATTTTTTAAAAATACCTACAAAACATCTAACATAATAAAACATTAATGGATTAATAATACTTTCCTCAGCATACAAATCTTTAAAAATTAATGTTTCAATTTTTTTTTGTGAAATATTTGTAAAATCTAAGTGACTTGTACAACATGGAATTCATATAATATGGAATTATCAACAGTGTTATAGGGGGGGGTCTACTGTATTGATATGAATATTTATAGTTAAAGATAAATTAAAACAGCATTCTTTAAATAATGAACCGAGCTGTTCGTTTTTAAAATATTGAATATTGTAAAATTAACATATAGCTTCATTAAATAGTATTATTATATTTTTATTTATTAAAATATTACAATTTCCTAGATTATACAAAAGTATAACAATTATATAAAATACAATTATAAGTGTGTCATATATAATTTAATTATTCTGATTTAATATTTTGTTTTTATTTTACTTATGCTGTGGAAAAAAAATTAATATACGAAATTGGATTTAAAGATTAAA